AACAAAATTGAGATTTTCACACTACTAAATGCTTAGTAGAAAAAGTTAAAAAAAAAAAACTCAGACAGTATGAAGTACAAGGTTATTATTCCAGTTCTCCAGAACTTTCCTCACCAAAGACTTTATTCAGATGGACTTTGAGGCGAATTTGTTGGACGTCGTCCCCAGTTTTGATACACAGACTAAGATCCGAGCTCAAGTGGGACTGAGGAGACAGCGACAGTAGCAGCTGATGTCTGTTTGCCGTTTCATTAAAGCAGCAGAAATGAAGAAGGCTTTATCAGCCTAAGTTGCAGCTGCCAGATGCAAGACATCAGCTTCTGAACACCTTCAACCCTTCATCCTTTCCTCTGCCCACTCCATGCCAGGAGAGAGGATTATGGTTAGGCAGAGTTCCCAGACAGCTCATCCCGTCAGCCTTTATCACAGACGCAGCACTGCTGTCGCCGGCACAGCGACACTTTAAGCCATAAAACACTAACTGACAATCACTGAACGCCGGGGCATAGGGCCCATAATTCTTTACCAGACAATCAAGGCATTCTGCCTGCATTGTTGTTGTTTTTTTAAAATTATTATTTATTCATGTATTAGTAAGCACGAATGGGGACAGGTCGGATCATCAGAAGGGGAATGCAAACAATAAACAATAGGCACATCATAAACTCATATATTTGCGATCAAACACTGTTTGTTTCACATGATCAATAATTTTGTGAAATACTTTTTTTCACCAAAGTCTAAAGAAAGAAATCAAGGTAAAGTCCTGTTCCTATTAGATGTGTTTAATATTTGTTAAAAACAAAACGCTCAGTTTTCCAAGATATTTTCCATAACACGTTGATATATTGTATATGTGGCAAAAAACAAACAAATTGAATTTGTCTCAGTTGTCGTTCTCACCTCTCCCTTTTTTTCTTCTCTCTCTCTAAACAACAAACTCAGAAATGCATGCGGTTCAACCCAGACGCCACCGTGTGGGTGGCCAAGCAGCGGATCCTCTGTACTCTCAATCAGAGCCTTAAAGACGTCCTCAACTACGGGCTTTTCCAACCAGCAAACAACGGACGGGATGGCAAGTTCCTGGATGAAGAACGCTTTCTGCGAGAGTATCCTCAGCCAATCAGCAAAGGTGTCCCAACGTTGGAGGTGAAGACTTTTGCACAAGATTAACTTCTTTTTTTCTTTTTCTTTTTTGTCCAATTCAATTTGTGACCAGAGCACGCCCTCATCAGTCAGTATGTCCAAAGACAAAGTTCTCTGCTTTACTGTGAGGAAGAAAAAGAAGAAGAAGAAAATAGAAGAGCCTCCTTTTAAAGGCATCCCCTGTTCCCCCATAATTTCCAGATGTCGTAGCTATATTGTGACTTCCAATAATGTCTCCAGAGAATAATCACCAGACAGTTGATATTTCTGACACATCAACAGGATGTTGAATCTGCTAGAGGCCAGCTGAGGCTATCTGCTATCTCTTTAGTTCGTTTTAAACCTACAGACTACAATCTGTTTTGTCTACCGTTGTTCTGGGCTCCAGCTGGAGACAAGGACACTCTGTGTGTCTGTAAACATGACTGACAGAGAGACACACATACACCCAAGCATGTAGATGTGTCAGTGCCTCCCTTGAAGTCATCATTGGATGAGATGTTCATTGTCTTCATCTTCCAATCGTCTTCTTTTGCCCAGAACCTTGCAGAGGGTTTTTTTTTAAGTAAACACCTTGTGACTGAAGAGTTTTAAGCTAAAGGTCATCCACTCCTCTGTGGACTCAACGGTGTAGGAGGAAAGATTTAATGCAGTCCTCGGTGGAGCTGTTGTTTTTATATCACCTTTTCTAATCCTTGTTTATTCGTCTGTATTACTCAACAGTTCCGCTACAAGAGCAGAGTCTACCGGCAGCCCACTGTGGACGAGAAACAGATCGCAAAACTGCATACGAAGGTGAATGTCTCTGTTGTCTTTTTAACCAAATGAAACACACGTGACGATCAACACACACACACACAGACACACTGCTGTTTAATGGGGTTTGAGACAGCATTTTATTATTACCAGACACTTGTGGCAAAATAAAGGCATAAAAATACAGTCATTCAAACTTGAAGTTACAAGTTTTACAGCAGTAAAATAACACTACTACAGATAGAGATCAATGTCAGTCGACAGGAAAGCTTCTTTTCTTCTGATTGGCTGACTATAAGATGTCAACTTTTCTAATATAACAAAGCTACGTTGTCAGTTCCTATTAATTTAACCTTCAAATGACGTTAGTTATTTTCCTATTTTCATGCCTGTTGAACTTGTTTCATCTGGACTTTTACAGGGATTTGTCTTAGTTATTTTCCTATTTCCATTTCATCTGGACTTTTACAGGGATTTGTTGTTGTCATGTTTTCTTTTGCGACCCTGGTTTGTTATTCTACGACAAAGTCCTACTTGTGTGGATTTTTCATCACCAACAGCCGGTCATTGTGTAGAGGCAGAAACTCAACTGTTGATGCTATCGGTCATCAGCGCTCACACTTCTGCTCCACTTTGGCCTTGAAATTGTTACAGTGTGAGACGGAGTCGCGGGAGAGCCAACGTGAGCAGCTGAGCAGACAAAGACAGTCAAAGAAAAAAAAGATGTCAGCGCAAACCAAGCCTGCTGCAGTCCGACTCCCAGCTGGGGCTCAGGCTGGAGCTGCTGTGATGACTGCTTCATCCTGTAGGTGGTGCCAAAGTGAATATTAAAGACACAAGCAAAGGAGTGGAGCACTCACAGATTGGGTTTTATATCTGTGAATTGGCTGCTTTGGGGATAACATTATTAACCAAAACCTATCCAAAAAAATATATCTCAGCTATGATAAAAAATAGAACGCCGTCTTTTCAAGTCAGTGGTGAATTATTGCCCCAGATAAAGCAAGAATAAGGGAAAGGAAGTGAGTTTTGAGATGCTAAATATTGATATCGGGAGTGGTCACTCTCTTCAAAAACATGCTCTCTGGTAGCTGGAGGACTACGCTCCTTAATATTTAAAAGTCCTGGTCATCTGAAGGACAGTTGGTCTTTGGTGTTTGGAGCAGTCCAGTCCAAGGAGAACCCCTGGTAGACCCAAACTAGAAGGTGGTCTTGGGTAAAACCTCACGAGAGAAGATGGTTTCCTCCAGTTGATTGTGATATGAAGCTAAAAAAATGTTGGGTTTCAATGTCGTGTTCTGCATCGTATTTCACTAGAATAGTTATCAGGGTCAACTCAATATGATTAGGACACCCCTGGGTTTCTGTATACGCCCACATGGCCTGTGCCCCCCACCCTTCATTTACCACCCGACGTATTCTTTTGTTGCCCTTACACCCACCCTCCAACGTCTCTGTCTTTGTCTTCCGCCTCATTCTTCTCTCCTCATTTCCTCTTCTTCAGGGAGCTGCTCTTCTATCTATTTTTATCCTGTGGCCTGGAAAGAAAAGGCACACATGCCAGCGAACAGACAGGACCAGCCTTTTCACTCTGCACTGTCCCCACAATCTGATGTCCCTGCAATACCCCCATTCCACCTTGATTGTTGACCATTCTGTGCCAGAAATACAGTCAAGTGGAAACTGACTGAAACTGCTTTTTCAAGCTCACAGAAGTTTGACTTTTTATCAACTGTGCTCTACTTTTTAATCCCCATTTCTCTCTAACTATAACTCTTACTATATTATTCACTCTGTGATTTTTTAATTTTTTTTTTCCTTTATTGTTGCAGGCCAATCTGAGGAAGTTCATGGACCTCGTCCAGCAGAATCAGGTGGACAAAGTAGCCAAGATGTTAGAGAGGGGCCTGGATCCCAACCACCAAGACACTGACACTGGTGGTAAGGTTTAATAACATTTTAGTCTAAAATTAAACTTAATATTTTATCAGACGTATTGTATTTTTTTTTTTTTTTTACTTTTTAATGTAGTGCACATTTACAGACAAGGCTTCATGGTCAAAAGACAAAGTTAGTCACACTGAATTAAATCTCAGTCCTTATCATTCAAGTGAAACAGTGGATGAATCCGAGGATTTGTCCAGACATGGTGATTATTCCTCCTAATGAAACCATTTGTTCGGCAAAGAGCCCAGGTTCTCTCAGTGAATGGTTAATCTCTACCAGCAGCGAGTGCACTCTTTGACGCTTCACAGTCGTGATTACTGCTGGAGAACTCTGTCGCACAGGTAGATTTATCTACGGTTTTAGAGAAACCAAAGATTTCTCAGTGCAACCTCGTCTAAAACCGTCGCCAGATTGAAAGCATTTTTTTTTTAAATTATTCTCTGTATGTGGTTATGGGACATGAAAATGACAAGCGTTAACTTAGCATTAGGGACTGGAATGATTTTGGTGTATGTGTGACTATGTTGAGACTTTCCCGATCATCCAGATCTCATCTTACTAGAACTTCTGGGTCTTTAACTCAAAGTTGTATAAAGACCCAACGGTAAAGGGTTAAAGCTAATGCCCAGGAGGTTCGATGGTTGCTGTCAAATGTTTCCCTAACACAGGAGCCACCGTGAGCAAAGTCACTTTAAACTCCCAATCCACAGAAGAGC